GGGGGGGGGGGGGGGGGGGGGGGGGGGGGGGGGGGGGGGGGGGGTGCGTTTGCTGTGGTCTCAGAACTGACAGTTTTGTATTGTCGGCGTGAAAGAATAGGTGTCACGGGGCGACTCGATTCGCTAGACGAAGGTATTGCGGTGTTCGGTGGCGTTATTTTTGTCCCAAGGCCGCAGTCAATATACACGTGTTACAGTGACGTGAGGGCCGAAGAGGTACTGCAGGTCTATCTAACCACGGTGAAGAACAGGCGAGCGCGGACTCACTCATCGGCTTGTTTTGTTTTCGATCTCTTTTTGGTGAGTTGGGAGGAAGCAGAGCCGGCTGCTCTACGAGTAGAAAGGCTTAGTTTCGTCTCCCTGATGCCTGCTGGTGTGTCGTTTCTCTTTTCAACGGTGTGAAAAGATGCCGCCTGTCTGCCGTTCACCCTGCAGAGTTCCTTGTACTTCGATCCGTTGCACACGGACAGAGAGAGGGACTCCTTTGATGCCTCACATTTCCTCTCCTCTCTTTTCTTTTTATAACGAAGGCTCTGAAGACTAAAGCCCTCCTCTTCGAGTGGTTGCGTCGACCAAATGCGACGCCAACGCAGCAGCAGCGACAGCACTTGTAGCGGCTAAGTTAGATCAAACCGGCAGGCAGGTCGTGGATCTTTGTTCTTGACGGGTCCATGCACGGCTCGCTCGCGTGCATGCACACCAGACCTCTTCTCTCCGTGTTTTGGATTAGAAAGCTGCTGGCCGGTGTGTCGCTTGTTTGGCAACGGTCGTAAACCGGAAACGGGAAGAAAAGAGAATGCTGCTGTCAGTTGCTGCTGGGACGGATCGTGACTCACGACATTTCTGGGACCCCGGCCGCTCGTTCATGAACAGCAACCCACCCATGCGGGATGATGGTTACTAGGGCAGACGGGTGGAGGAGGTGTGCGGCGCGATCCAGCGAAGAGAAAGACAATGATGCTCTCCTGGAGTTTTTCCGGCAAACCCGCAAACGTTGGTGGGTTGTCGGCAGCAATTAATTGGTGGATGGCGATGATGGTGGCGGAGGTGGCGATGGTTCACAATTTTGTCGAGGGGAAAAAAAGAGGACGAAGAAACACAAAAGAAAAAAACACCGGTTGATGGTGGCGTTGTCACACCCGCCGCTGGATGGAGGTAGGTGTGCGTCAGCACAGTTTTCGGGGGGAAGCTTTAGAACTAAACACTGAATGACCGAACGGAGCCAATTCGCATAAAAAGCTTAAGTTTTTGCGATCGATCTCGAGTGGATCGCTTGGCCACTGGACCCGAGGGTTTGTTTCATTTGTGTGTGCTTCGACTGCACGCGGCCGAACCCCAGGTAGGGTGGCTAAACCTAAAATCTACTTTTTCTTTGTTGGGGGGGGAGGCATGACTCCTACGCACGCTAAATAGTATTATTTCTGCTCCCAGTTGCAATGGATGCAGGTACACGCAACCCGCGGAGGGGAGAGCAAGCACGGCAACTATCGGCCCTGTCGTGCCCGTGTCGCTTGTTATACGATGCACAGCATGCGACGTGAATTCCTCAATCAATCGTCAGGTGGAGTTTTCGCAGCGGAGCTGAAAATAAGGCATTTTTTGTTATGTGACAGAAATCCTGGCACAGAAACTGCAATACTGGTACTGTATTTTTCTCTTTCCTCACGTAATCAATCCCACAGAGGCAGTTAGTTGCCTCTTCTTGCCGGTGATCTCGCGGGACAGTGACCAAGCTGAGACAGACATGACACAAAGTCTACGGCTCGCGTCGGAACGGCGACATCTTCAGCGCAACTCAACGTTGTAAAATCAAGTCTTTCTTCCAATTGCAAATTGGGGTTTCTGTTGCGGGTACAAAAAAAAATACTTCAAAAACATGCCAAGTTTACTCGCAATAGGGCAGCGCTCCGGCACTTACAAACCCTGGATCGGATCTCAGAATGAGCTCGCTACATACGTTGAACAACATTGAAGAACATGGACCGAACAGAAAAAAAAAAAACAGGAAGAGATGCAACATTAACATTCCCCCCCTCCGCTCTGTTGTAGACTTGCCCGTTAGCACATATCCCTTGCCTGGAACTTTACTGAATCCTACGAGAATCCAGCCATTTCTTTGCAAAAAACAATAACGCACCCACCCTCGGTTATCGACGGGGCTGAAAAACAGAAGAATGCGAATATAATAGACTATTATTAACGAACCATTTCGTGGAGAATATCAGCCACTTTAAGAGCCTTGCGCCCTTGGTAAGTGGGAGAAGCCAGCGTGATGAACGGTAACATCTAGATCGTTCTGCAATATATCAAAGAAAATAGCACGCGTGCACGCATTACCACCATGTGTGTTTGTGTACCAATGGTGATAAATATAGCGTCCGGCGTCGGTTCGTCCGCTCGGGCAGCAAATCTGCGTCGTGCCTAAAATCAGAAGTCCGCACGTACGCATAACAAATCTTACACGAATACAGAATCTCAACGCTGCACTGCACACGAAAGAAAGAACCTCGCAAATCCACACTTGTAGACCTGCACCCAAGACCGACTCGCGCTTCATTCACTAGCGGTTCTATGGTAATAATACCGTATTGTAGTTGCACACCATAAATGCGTACATGGCCGCAGAATCTCTGTTACAAGAAAGAGAGCGCGGCAACAGAGTAAAAGCAAATCGAGAATAGCTGCAGTGCCAATCAACGGCAGTTATTCGTAAAACAAACGTTCATGTTACCCCTCGAAAACACAGTAAGATCTAGCACATCCGCACGTGTCTAGCGCTCGTGTATTGGTATCGGCGACAAGTGCTCAAACATCGACTTTCTCTCAACGACATCTGCTTCATCGACAAGCACCCCGCTCCTGACATGACGTCCCTCCTGAAGTGAGTGCATTTTGTTTTTTTCTTATGCACGTGTGTGTTGCATGTATGCGTATTTAATTGAATTTTAATTGTTTATTGGTTTGGGGGAAGAGATACGCAAGGTAACGCTCGTCGAATTAGTCGGAACCTAACACAACAACGACAACGACAACAAAAATGTACCCAGAACAACACGTTTTGCCCCAGGAAAACAAAACAAAGCGGCCGACCATCAGCACCGCGTCTACCGTTACACTAAAGCGAACCCGGACGATGTTTCCCCCCCGCCGCCGCCATCGCAAACACCAGCAGCAGCAACGGGAACAACCCCCGCGTCCAGAACAGCAGCGGTCGGGATGGCGGCAGCGGCATATGCCGTGCTCCTACGACCATCGCCTCCGCCGCCTCCGCCGCCGCCGCCGCCATCCGCAGCAGCAGAAGCGGCGGTCCGTTCGACGAGCTCAACCCCTTCGACCTCCAGGGAGTGCGCACCGTCCCCGTCCGCCGACGGCCCGGCATGCTTCTCCTCTTCTTCCTCCTCCTGCTGGTCATCAGGCAAGGGGACGTGAGGAACACGCTCTATTTTCCCGGGGATGGATTCGTGGCGTCCCCCCCCCCCCCCCCCCCCCCCCCCCCCCCCCCCCCCCCCCCCCCCCCCCCCCCCCCCCCCCCCCCCCCCCCCCCCCCCCCCCCCCCCNCCCCCCCCCCCTCCGTCGGCGGCAGTGGGGTCGCCGTGGCCGCAGCGCCGTGCTCCTGCCCCTACCACTCCTCCGTGGCAAGAGGTTCCGCCGCTGCAATCCGCACGCTTGTTGTCGTTATCCCTGATGCCTTTTAAGCGGTTCTCGTGCCGGTGTAACATTTTCTCTAGCCGGGCCTGTCGTTTGCTGTCCAGCGGGGGCAGCTCGTAGCCCTGCAATGCGCGCATCATTTGTGAGGAAGGTGCAAGAGATCGAGCTTGGTGAGGGAAGAGGGTGTGTGTGTCGGCCGTTCGAGGACGGAGCAGCGCAACTACAGCTTACGTACGCACGCTGCTCGACGGGAGAAATACACATCCTTTCGACGCACATGCGTGTGTACATAATCGCATTTCCCCGCCACCATGTGACACCTGTCCATACGGGGTGCGGGAGTGACGCAACGCTGCTGTGCACAGTAGTTGACAGCATATATTCTGGCATCCCTGGCGCGGACGGTTTCATCGGAGTGAGGGAGGAACGTCCCAATATCCAAACGCTATACCTAACCTTATGCTACACTCCTGAGAGAGACTGCTGCTGAAAATCCTGAGCACAAGAAAAAAAGCGTTGAAAACCAGCAGCAGAAGGGGAAACCACTTTCATGAAGGGTAATACAGCAGTACAATCTCCCAAAGTCTGTCCACGACGATTCCCTCCTTTTCATTCAGAGCAACACCACAAAAGACGACTGCCCTGCTGCTGCCGTCGCCGCAAAAAACACCGGCAACCTCTCATTTTATTTTTTTTTGTCGCGTGTCGCATGACTTGCCTCGAGGTAGTACCTTGGACGACGACGACGCCGGATGGAAACAGCGGCCGCCACCGCCGCCGCCGCACTACTACCACCGGGCGCGATGCCGCCCCCGCCGTCTTTGCCACCGCCGTTGCCGCCGCCGATCCCCCAGAACTCCATGAAGTTGCCCCACGGGCCAAGGTCGTAGCGGTTGAACGGGGGCCCTCGCGGGGTGGCGTTCAGCCAAGGGTAACGCCGCTGGTTTATCCGTTCGTTCGAAGTGAAGTTCGACAGCATGTTCCGGATCTGGACGTCACGCCCATGGCGCGGTACGGTCGGGGCGTCGCCGGCAGCAAGGGCAACGCCGGTAGGTACGGCCAGGGCGTGTGGGGGGGTTCCGTTAGGGGTTTCGGACGAAGCGGTGCGGTGCGGGAGTGTCGTTCGCTCCCAGGAGGCTCTGCTCGCGCTAAACCTCAACAGATTGTTGGTGGTGTGTCTTGTGAGTACGTTGATTGCATGTATGATGAGGTGTTTTCGTTGTTGCTTCTTCGACCGAATAGTCCGGTGTCATCATTTATCAATAACATACACACCCCCATTCGAGCGACTTCAAATAAAATTTTATTGCAATGTCGGGAGCTACTGTTGTGTCCATTTGTGTCCACTTTCGTGGACAAACCTCATTCGAAGTCGCTCGCCCTGAGCAGCGAAGAACCCCGCAAACGCCACTAACCAACTACGGAGCCCCCCCCCCACCCTCCCTCCTCTTGACCCAAGCAAGCGCGCACCTGCTCGTGAGCGATCCCGGTAAGCATGACGACTCCGAATGCCGACGCAAGCGTCAGAAGGAAGGTCGGGAGATAAGTCTTACCCAGCAGAGTCCCCAGCACCTTGACGACGCCTCCCTGGGGGGGTTTGGTTTGCCGAAGAGAACAAAACATCGCCGAAAGAGGAAATGAAAAAAGAGACAAGAAATAAGGAAGAGATGAGTGACTATTCGTCGTCGTCGTTGTCGTCTTCGGAGAGTGAGAACACTTGTTGCGGCTTTGATTATCCACCTTTGTCAAAGTGTAGTGTCCGTCCGGTCAACTATCTCGAAGGGTGCCTTCGTAGATCTATCGAGGCAAGCTACCGCGCGAGATGCCCTCTATCACGTACTTCGAAGTGTTTGTTGTCTCCCCCTCCCCCCTCCGACCACGCTTCCATCATTGACTAATGCGGGCCAACTAACCCGTTGAGCGGGGGAAAAGGCGGCGGGGGGGGGAATCAAGCTACATCACTTGGCCGTGTTTACTGTACAAAAATAAACACAGTCTCTTCAGGTGTTTGAATTCCCTCTACACAAGAGGAATACTGCTTCGTTTGCCGCGAAAACCTAGACAGGGCGAACTTCTGTGTGACCACAGATTGGACATCTTCCTCTCCTGCCCGGCAATAATTCCGTGAGCGCTGATTCTAAGTGATGATGATAAAAACAAAACACAAATGGCTCGGCTTTTGTCAACGCGGCCCCTTCACCTCCGAAGAAATTTCCTTGGCCATGGAGGCAATCGAGACCGACAGGAAGAGCGCCGCGTACCCCAGCTGGCACAAGACGAAGGCCACGAAGCGCCGGTGGTTTCCGCAGCCCACGCAGTTGTTGAGCCACATGCAGTGGTGGTCCATCCTGCCGACGCACAGGCCGCACTCCGCGCAGTGCTAATTTACATTTAGTTTTTCCACCGGTGGCAAAAACGAAAAAAATATATATAGTGCAAGCGCCGCGAGAAGGAAGGTCAACAAAAACGCCGTCAGATTGGTGGCGGGAGGAGACGCTGGTGTGAGGGCAAGTGGGCGAAGGCATGGGTCTGAAGTATCGCAACGCGTTGCGACAAGGCGATTGCTATGTATGTGGATGATCTTGGCCACCCATACGGCAGTCCCAACTCCTGTGGCTAAAAACAGATAGTATGTAGCCGAAAAACCGCAACCAGCACTGGCAAGAACGACAACAACGATGAACCGTTCCAGGACAACGGTAGTAGGTGTTTCTATTCCATATCCACCAGGAAGGCTCTCAAAAAATATCGTACACCCACAGCACGTGGGCATGCGGTACCACCGCCGTACCGTATCGTACCGTACCGTACCGTGCCCTATCGTACCATACCGTACCTTGGACCTCGTCGGCTTCCGCACCAGGCACGTCTGACACAGGCGCCTCGGTTCCGGCGGTCCCACGGTCGCCGCCACACCCTCTACAAGCGCCCTCATGTCCTCCCTCGGACACATGACCACGGCCCCAGGGTCCCCCCGCCCCATCCCGACCCGCTGCCGCCGCCGCCGCCGCCGCCGCGGCTGCCGCCTTCCCGGTGAAGCCGCCGGTCGGCCTCCTCCTGCCCCCGCGGCCGCTTGCGCCACCGCCGCCCCGCGGCCGTCGCCGGCCAGCAGGGTCCACCACAGCGCCAGCATCGCCGCCAGGAAGCCGACCGAGGCGCACGCGGCCCACGCCGTTGCCGTCATTTTGGCAGTTCTGCCGCCGCCGTCGCCGCCGGTGATCGAAGAACCGGCGAAAGAACGGTCGGCGGTGGTGGTGGTAGTGGACACCAGGATCTGAATCGCGACGACGATGGTCTGGGAGAGGAAACAGAGGGCCATGCCGGCCCAGACGGCGAGGTGCTTCTCGGGGGCTAGGAGAACCGTCACGGTCCGGGATGGCGGGTCCGGGAGAACCGCCGAAGCGGGTGCGTCTCTGGGCAGGCGCGGGTTGACCGAAGGCAGGGGAAACAGCGCTTTTTTGAGTGAGTTGGAGCATGCATGCAGACGAGGAAACACGAAGCGGCAGGGATGTGCAGAGCCTTCCGGACAACGGAGAAAGCCCTCCGCCCTTTTCAGAAAAGTACACATATTCTGAAAGTAAGACTACCCGTTCGAGAAATAACCACTGCGGTCGAAAGGGATGTGCTGAATTGTCCTTTCAGTGGGTGGAGGGGAACCGGCTGGAAATAGGCACATTTTGAGTTTAAGCCCTCCCCTATTCCTTTCATGAGTTTAAGAAGGACGTTGTGGGCACCGGCACCCGACGACAGCGCCAACGTATGTCGCGTTCGCCCGCCCGTCGTAGACTACCGTGCACCCCCCATTGCAAAACGCGCTTTCTGCCACAAAAACAACAAACCAGAAAATGCTTTTCTCAAACCTCGTTGGCCAACACAAAGACACAACCGAACCCCCCCACCCCTTCCAACAAACCAAAAGCGTGCAGGAAAAACCCACGCCCGCGACGCCTCCTCACCTCCCGCGCCTCCCCCATGGCCCCCCCGCTCTCCCATCCGAGGCACCCCCCTTCCGGCCGCCGCAGCCTCCGAAAACAGCCGCGAGCTGCGCGGCCTTACGGGTCGCTGCAAGCACGGCGACACTCCCCAGAAACCATCCCCACCAAGGCACGACGAAAGACAGCGCCCAGACCCCGCAGATGGGGATCGCGTACGACGCGACTACCCACGCCCTCGTCGGGTTCAGGCGCTCGGGAAGGACGATGATGTCGCCTGTCCGGGGGGGAGGTACGTAGGGGTGGAACAAGCGAATGGGGGGGGGGGAAGAAGTCGCGACGTGGGCTCGGTGGGACTACGTAAGGCAAGAGGGATATAGACAAAGAAAGGATGTGATGAATTGGGCGGGGTGACGAAGAATAGGTGAGGGTGGGTTTGTAAATGGGGGGG